CAGCAATCATCACCCAGATAAGCAGAGATTAACACCAAGATTATCACCAGGCATACAATCAAGTAGTAAACAATACCCCAATCAAGGAACTATCAGAAGGGGAAAAAATAAAACCCCCACCCCCACCAATGCTGGCAGGGCATGCCGTTGTGTATAAACAGAGAGCAAACCCCATTCCATTCTAGCACTGAAGATGTTACCTAGCCGGATAACAAAACATTTGCAAGAAAACAACCAAGCTCAGAGAACCCCAAGGACTCCACACACTCAGTAACCCAGTAGCCTCTCCCTCTCTCATGTGATAAAGCAGGAGAACCAGCTCTCTAAAAACCCAGCAGCTGTACCCCACAGCTCCTCCAGCCACTGATCAGCTGTCCATGGAGCTGAGGGTAGAGCAGGGCAGTAGCTGTGTCCAGCTCTTTCTACCAGGAGATGGAACAAAGGAATGGTGGCAGAGGAGAGGGCTGGGACCTGGGCGGAGAACTGGTGCCCGCACAAGCCTGATGTTGGCAATGAGTGTTTGCTATTCACAGGATAGTCAGCAAAGCATGTCAGATTTCACATATCTGGAAACTGCTGTAGGTTGCTGATGGCTTTAGGTTGAAGAATATACTGTACTTTAGAACCAAAACAGCTGAGCATCACTTAAGACTGTCTCATTCACATGCTGAGGATGAGATGAAGGCAATTTAATGGGGGATGCTGCAGAATAAAGTGGTACATGTTGGTACATGGTTAAGATGCAAGCGAGGAGAGCTGGGCTATCTAGCTAGATGAGACCATACATTCACAAGTGAAGGAACCCTAGGCTGAAGGAACCGCTAAGACTGAAGAGGTGAAAGAAACCCTTAGAAAGAAGACCCACAGGGAAGAAAGTGTCTCCCCCTCCAAGGAGCCCAGGAAGGACTGAGCATGCTCAGCAGCCTCAACCTCAAAACCCTCCCTGTGTTGGGTGGGTGGGTGTGAGTACCAAATAAGGAGGAAGAGAAAGAAGGGTCCTGTGTGGCAGAGGATGTCGCTGAGATTCTGAATTTTGGTGGTGCAACGTTCTGGCACAGGTCTTCCTTCTAAAATAATGTAAATGTGCTGCCATTAAAGGTTGACAAGAATGAAGCAATGTGACATATCCTCCTGCATTGCCATCCACTGGTAAACAATATGTTTTTAACACAGAAAAAAAACCTGTGGGTAGATTTTCATTAAGTCTGCAAAGCAGAAATATTCTTCAATAACTTTGTTCCTCCAGCCACTTAGAAGGCAGGGCGGGGACTGATAACACAGAAGCATGTGAAAGATGGCCAGGCCAGCGGAGTGGAAGTTGTAATTATACGAATAGATATCAGAAGTTAATTATTTTTTTAAACGCTTGACTGGAAGCCCTTCTAATCTCAGCTGCCTGCAAATGTTAGCAATGACTGTGATTATCCAGCAAGCGGGGAAAAAAATTGCATTGCTGAGAGAGAACCAATACTCCAGTTCTGTCTGCCTAATCAGGTCATCTTCTGCCTGGTTGCAAGCAAAGGCTTGCAAGATTTTGATTTGATGTTAATATGCGTACGCCATTTTCCTGCCACTTAGTTAAGTTCACCCTAAGGGCTTTCTTTTTCCCTCGAAAACAGCCTCCCCCAAGGGAGCTGTGCCCTGGCTGGAAAATCTAGGAGCTGAGTGGGGCGTGGGGGAAAGAGAAGGCCCCCGGGTCAAAGAAGACCTCCTGTGCGTGGGAATGTAAGCTGCCTTTGAGAATACGCTTCCTTCGTCACTTCACATCTCCGGAGCGCGAAAGGTGATATGAGGTCGCCTGTCTTGGAAAGAGACTCGTCCATTATCAATCCATGATTATTGCTGTTTAATGCCAGGAAGAGGTGAGAGGAGTTTCTGGTATTTTCTGCATCAGGTACCAAAATGATTTGGTGGACCTGGTCTGAGTCTCGAGCTGGAAAGCGGCTCTGCTTTAGGCTACGTTACAAATTGCTTTCGGCCTGTTCTGCCCGGGACAGCGCGTTGTCGGTGTGGCAAAGTGACTCGGAAGGATTTGCGCGGCGAGTCTTCCTCCTACTGACTTGCGCATTCGGGACGGTTCCCGGGATACTCCCCCGCCCTCCTCTTCGCCTCCTCCCCGCCTTTATAAAAGCTCGCAGGACCGCCCCGCCCCTATTTCTTCTCCCGAAAGTGCGACCCGAAATGCAAAGTCCAGCGTAAAATGGCAGGCGGGCACTGTTGCTGGCTGGGCCCGGCTGGCGTTCGCCGGATTTTGGCGGGCTGCAGGGCAAACCATTCGCGGCCTGGAGCCTCCTTGAAGCGGGAGTACGATGCTGTCGTGATCGGGGCAGGTGAGTGTCAGAGGCATGAAGCCCATTTGACACATCCGGGAGCGAAGGGGGCTGCCCATGGCCAGATACGGAGATGGCCCACTGCCCAGGGAGAATGCCTTGGCTTGGAGTCAATATCTGTCTGTCTTGCAGGGCGTTGCAGTTTTTAGTCTAGAAACTATTGGCAGTGCAGTCCCGTGCCCGTTTAAAAAGCAACGCTTCCTGGAGGCATCCTTGATGCCTGCTGTCCCAGCAGTTTTCTTGGCAACAGTATGAAAATTAGTTTGCCAGTGCTGCCTTCTAGATTGTTTTTTGACTTTCCAGATATTTTCTGGTAGAGTCCCATCCAAGTGCTGCTACTTGCCAAGACTGCACGTTTACCTGGAGTTCTGTGTTGCCCTTTAGGTGTAGCATCTGAGCAAGTAAGCAGAGTCACATTTGGTCATCCCAAAGGTCTGGACTAGACTGGAATGTCAAAAAAGCCACCCCATTGTAGTTGCTTAGAAAACTCTATGGAAGGATTAATGCAGTCATAAAAAAATCAAGCACAGTTTGGAGACTTACTTTAATTCTGTGCCAGACATATACAGGGATGGGCAACCTGTGATCGTGTAGATACTGCAGAACTATAATTCCCAGCATCTTCATCACTGACCATGCTAGCTGGGGCCGACTAGGCGTTGCGATCCACTTGCAGGCAGAGCCGCTGCTGATTTTAGATGCTTTAGTATCACCTGTTCTTAACTGTACTATAAATTATGTTTTGCCTTTTCAAATGAATGTTTTCCCTTGAGGACCCTTTCAGGGTTGAGAACAGTGACAGAAAATGCTTGTATAAATAAATAAAATATGTGCACCTACATAAGAAGAAGCAAATGATGACAAGTAGCTTCTCGTTCTGTGATATCTTTACAGGACACAACGGACTAGTGGCTGTAAGTACTGAGGGTTCTGGAAGGAGGCAGCACCTCACATCTGACAACTTCTGGAACAGATCCCTAGTGCCTTATACTTTGGGGGAATCTGTTCTTCACGGGGGATACCTGGTCTTGCAGTTATGAGGTTCTGCAACAGGGGTTCTTGGAAAGCAGCAGGTGGGACTATTCAGGACCACGTTAACACCCACTACATCCCCAGGCTGCCTATCTGCAAAAAGGAGGGCTGAAAACAGTAGTGCTGGAGAGAAGGTACATTGTGGGAGGCGCTGCAGTCACTGAAGAAATTATCCCAGGTAAGAGTTAAACTTATCCAATACTTCCCTTTCCCAAATATAACTTCTGCTCCTTGGTGCACCTGACCTCCACTATTCTGCAGGCTTTCACTTCTCCAGAGCCTCTTACCTGCTCAGTCTGCTGAGACCCCAGATTTACGCTGAACTGGAGCTGAAGGTATGGATGGTGCTTTGGAAAGCACTGCTGGTTGGTTCCTGTTTGCTGTCATTTTTCCAATTTTGCTTGTCATTTTTTTCCTGAAACCTGTTATATCCTGATCCCATGTGCCTCTCCTCTTCTGATTATCCAGTGTTACCCATGCAATGGGGACCCGCATGTATCCCTTCCTTCCCCGTGCCTTTTAAAAAAATTAATATTCAGCTTCAAGCCAGAAAGTCAAACACAGTGACCTATTTGATTAAGACCTCAATCATCAAAGAGGCAAATTCTTGAAATCAGAAACTAGCAGATTAGGCTTAAAAAAGGGAGCCTCTTCATGTTGAAGAGTTTAGTTGGAATTAAGTCCCACTATTTAATGGAGTTTACTCCACATATAAGCATTTTTAAGATTGCAGCCTAAATTAGCTGGTGGCAGTTTACACAATTGTTAGTGGTATAAAGATATCATTCTTCTTTTGCATGCTAGGAAAGGGTCATTCCGGGACTATTGTGTAATACACAGTTTTGGCACAGTTGCCATATGTCTGAGCACTATACACAAATCTCCCTATTGCATTCACGCGATAGTTCTGTCTTGCAGAAACACGGCTTAAAAGTGCTGCTGCGTGACCCATATTCCTTCACTCCAGTGCTGGAGGACTGTCGGGGTGGGAAAGCTCCCTGCTCACTGTTGCTGGGGAACAGCATGGCTGAGACACAGAACCAGATTGCCCAGTTCTCCCTAAAGGATGCCCAGGTATTTGGGGAGGACTGCTCTTGGAGGCAGAGGGGTAAGGAGCAGCAGCACGTATCACAGTCATACGATATGAGAAATTAGGCCTAAACATTTGTGAGTGCTTGGAGTGTCGATCTGTAAGAAAAGGCTTATTCTAGAAATGAGCCTCAGCTGAGTAGTTTGCCTCTTCCTTTTCCTCTGCAGGCCTTTCCCAAGTATGAGATGTTCATGGGCCACTTGGTGGCAGCCATTGACCCTCTACTTGATATCTGCCCAATGGATGTAGCTGCACTCACTCAGGGCTCCTTGCATCAGCGATTCAGAGCCTTGAAGGGTTTGCAAGCCCTGTTCCGTGCAGGTGAGAGACAGGTGGCCCAGACCCTGCCATTTGGGATAGCACTGGCCTGAGGTCAGGATGAATACATACCCAGATCTCTCTTCAGTGGCTGTTGTGTGGATTATGTAGGTGACTAGAATCTCACCCAATCACACAGATTTTGTACTTGTTAACATTCCCTCCTCTTACCTTGTTGTAAGAAAGAGTGAGTAACCTGAAGCCCAGGGCCACATGTAAACCCTAGATTTCCTTTTTGCAGCTCTTAGAGAATATTCTGACCATGGTCTCTAAAACCTGGCCCCACAGTTTCCTGCAATTCTGAGAGGGAAACACATGGAAACTAACATATGCCTTAAAATAAAGAAACCTCAATGTTCTCCCCCAAACCTAGCCTCACCCACATGTATGACCTTGGCTAGCCCAAAAATATTGTGTGATCTTTGGCCAATAAAAGGTTACTCACTCCTATCTTGGAGCAACAAAGCAACCATATAGCCCCTGGAAGCTACATCAGCTGATAAACTGAGGGCTGTTCTTGTTTGCCCACTTACATGCACTCGTACATGTGTGTGCTAATGCTGAAAGCCATGCTAGATTAGTTAAGATTACTTTGCATCTTTCCGAAGACTAGGATTGTTGAAAGCAACAACGTTGCTAAAAACAACATTTGCATGGATTGGGGAGAATTGGCATGAATATAGTCACCTCTGGGAGGCCTCATGAAGGCTTTTTGCCAAAGGTATGCTAACAAAAAATTGTGAACTTGAAAGTGCCCAAGCAGCGTGCATGGAATACCAGCTGTGTGTGAGCAACAGTGGAAGATGAGCAAAGAGAGAGGGGAGTTTTCCTGATGTGATCTTTTATTGGGGATCTTCTGCAGCTGTAAGTCTCTCTTTGGTCAGACAGTGTTGGGCTGGTTACCAGGAGTATTTTCCTTTTTTGTTCTGTATTTGAAAGGCATGAATCACCTTGTTTTCTTCTTGCCAGGATTTGCTTTGGGAAAACAACTTCCACAGTATTACGAGGTCCTCACAGCCCCCATTTCCAAGGTAAATGGCACTGGCCAACCTGATCAGGAAGCTTCCAGTGAAATAGGGTTTTTTTTGTTTGTGCAATCTCTTTAGTGTAGAACTGTGTTATCTACACAATTCAGCAGGTGCTCAATAATATATTTTGGATAACTTTAATTTGAACTATAAGAGGACCCTAGGATTAGCCTAGGGACCTATGGGTCTGAGGAAGGTGATGAGGACATGGAATGTATAGATTCCTTCAAGGGTTCCATACAGAGCCTGTTTCTGATACGTCTTCTTGCAGATTTTGGATTTCTGGTTTGAGTCAGAGCCCTTAAAAGCAACATTAGCCACTGATGCAGTGATTGGTGCCATGGCTGGTCCACACACACCAGGCAGTGGGTAATGATACTTTTGTTAATTCTTATTGCTGTTCTCCAACCTAACTCTGTCCTGTCTCTGCACTTACCATTTCTCATCCTTTCATGTTCATCCCCAGCCTTTATACTTTGTTGGCAATCAACAGCAATCAGGTCTACGTACCAGCATTGCTGGACACAAGCAAAAATGGTTAGTAAGTTATACCAAGCATCATAACATTTTATTTCTGTAATGCTTCTTCATTTTTATAAGTCCTTGGGGAGTGAAAGTGTTGTTATTGTAATACAAACAGTTATAAAGTCTAAACTGCATTTGAGGGAGAAGACTTGTATTTTTTTTTAAAGGTATACAAAAAGTCTGCGACAAACCCAAGCTGCTGGCCAGCATCGACATTAAAAATACTATTGTAGCCTACACAATATTATTTGGCTGCCCCTAATTTTTGGACTTTCCCATAGGTATGTTCTGCTGCACCATGTCATGGGTGAGCTAGAGGGGCACAAGGGTGCCTGGGGTTATGTGTCTGGTGGCATGGGGGCACTTTCCAGGGCCTTGGCTCGTGCTGCAACTACGCTTGGGGCTGAGATCTTCACTGATAAGGTGAGCAGATCTTTCAAGTCTTGATCTGAGTGCCAAAAAGGCCTCCAGGGAAGAGGACACTGACAAAGAACAACGGAACAAGCAAAGAGGCAGCAAATGCAATTGTTTACTGTTATGTGTGACACAGAGTTCTGTTTGAACCACAAGACTAAGTGCAATAATGTCTTGATCGTATTCAAACTGGTTTATTTATGGAGGGGAGAGACTGAAGTCAGGATCCTGTCTACCACCAGATTAAGTGGGCACATTTGTACTAATCATGTGAGAACCCATACTTTTTTGCTCATTATTTTGTTCTCCCCCTCAGGCAGTTGCCCAGATTCTCCTGAGTTCTGATAAGAAGGTTCAAGGAGTTTGCCTCCAGGATGGAACTGAAGTGAAGAGCCGCTTGGTGCTGTCCAATGCATCTCCACATCATACCTTCCTGGAGCTGACTCCACAAGTATGTTTGGCTTTCTTACCCTTATTTTTGTCTTCTCTTAAAAACCAGGATGCCTAGAACTTGCCCAGAATATTTGATTGGTCTGTTTACATTCTAGTTCTAGATAAGCAACATGCATCTCTTTCATCAAGGACCCAGGGACTGTAATTTGCGTAGAAGAGAACTGAACCGCTTATGGATTCTCAGGAGAATAAGATTGCTGAGAGTTCCTTCAAGCCATATAAGAGAAAGACTGGCAGCTAATGTTTGGAAAGAGGAAGGAGTCCCAAAGAGAGTCTGAGCCATGTGCTTCAAGTATAGCCTTCCCATCTTCCTGTTCCAGAATTCCTAGCTAATACCTGGCACATCTAAAGGGTCCCAGAAGAACCTTAGGGAAGGTTCTGCTAGTTCTACTGTTGTGTACTGATTAATACTTTTTTTTCCAGAACAGCGGATTCCTTTCATATTAAATATTACACTATGCTGAACCTCCAGTTCTGTCGTATTCCAGGGATGGATACTGACTAGGGGCACCATATTCTCTGGCATAAGGTCCTTATTTTCTGTCAATGAACTGCCCAACCTGGAGTATGGGTACCAAATGGGATCTCTTTTTAGTCTTTTAGCTCATTTAGATCTGAAATAATAGTGTAGGAAAACCTGTAAATCTGGAACCTTCTCCATACAAAGTATGTGATCTGGCACTGTGTCATGGCCCTTGGTCAGCTGCTCCTCTTAGTAAAGCCTAGCTTGGTCAATTAGGACAGTTGTTGTACTGTATCCATCCAAATCTGAATTCTTGGCAACTGCATACCCGAGGGGGGCGAGTGGCTGTGAGTGGCAATCATGTATGCATTCTTTACATAATATAAATATATGAAGAATGAGAAAAATGGGTTTGGGCAGTTAAACTCCAAACTATTTTCCAGTGTGCTGTTGAATCTGTGTTTCTTCTTTCTAGGAGCATCTGCCCTTGGAGTTCATACAGAGAATATCACAGTTTGACACACACTCTCCAGTCACCAAGATCAATGGTGAGGATTGTGAGGAAGTAAATAGGTGAGAAGCTTCCATGTAAAGCTCCTTAGTGGTACAATAATTTCCATGGTCCTATGCACAACAGGCAGAGCTGCCTCCCATTTCTAACCTATTGTCATTCAGAGGATCATAAAGAGTGTCTTTACAATGCTTCTAGCACTATCACTAATAACAATATGATGATACTGTAGCCCTGGTACTTTCTGGTGGCTTCCTGTCTGGTACTAATGTGATCCAACCCTGCTTAGGTTTTTGAGATCAGCCAAGGTGCTTCAAGGAATAAGATGTGTAAATTACAAAAATCTGTAACTGGGCAACATCTTTAATAGGGCCAACTGAAACATTACCAAATCATGAACAAACTTTTGATCTGTTCTTCAGACTGGATGGTACAAAAGGCATGTGGTGAAGAATAGGAAAAGAGAAAAAAAGATACTCCCCCTCCACCCATGCTTTGCATCGTTCAATCATACAAAGAGTTTTGAGGAACTTGAAATACTTTCTTCTCACTGCATCCTGTCAATGTATTTTTTTCCTGAATTATTTTTTGTCCTTCTAACTCAATTGCCCAGTAAATCAAAATGGGTGGGTAAAACCCCAAATAACTGGAAGTCTATTTTAATTTGCCCCCCAACTTTGATAGGCTGGTGATTTAAAGAACAAAGCTGACAAAGTGGGAACCAGTTGTTCTCAGGCTAGACAGAACAGTTTTGTAAACACTGAACAGATATCCCCCAATCTCAAGGCAGAGGAGAAAGCAGCCAAATTTCTGTTGACTTGAAAAGGTAGGACCAAAAGGCCTAGAATTAACACCCTGAAGCAGTAGTTATATAGGCCTTGATTTCTATGTTCTGCAGTAGGCAGGTGTTCTGCATAAGTATGACTTCTGTTTTATCTGCAATAAAGTGATTTATCTAGCCATGTCCTGTCTGTGAACTTCTGTTGTGAGCAAATTCCTGAATGCTGTGTTAAGTATCTGGAGAACTGAGATTTGTTGTACTGCCTGGCATTGTTTATAATACCAACTTTTACTGTCCATGTCCCCAGTGGCTGTGGATCGGTTGCCCAGTTTTCTGGCAGTCTCAAACACTACCAATAGTGATCCCTTGCCTCACCATCAATGCTCCATCCATCTCAATTGTGAAAACATCCATACCTTGCACCAGGCCTTTGAGGATGCTTGCAATGGGAGGCCCTCTAGAAGGTATGAACACCAATGCTAAGTGACTTCAATAGAGTTGGGGATGGAGTACCACCCACCAAACCTGGATACTTCCAGATATGTTAGATTCCAGTTCTTATAATTCCCAGTCAACATGGCAAGAACTGATGGTTGAGAATTATGGATACTGAAGTCCTAATGGCTTTGAGGAAGGCAGCTTTATAATCTACCTTGTCCTAACCAAGGAGTGAGGGTAACAGCTACCAAAGAGAATGAAGCCAACTTAATTCTGATATACAGGATTCTTATTTAATGCGTATCTAAAATGGCTGTGGGTGGACCTGCTCCCTGTTATCCTGTTAAGTAGTCTTCCTAGTGCTCAACCTGGCAGTGTCCTGCAGTTAAACTTCCAGATATCCTACACTTGAGAGCACAGAACTCCAAACTGCTAACACAAATTTCACCACTCCAGAGTTCCTAATCTAAAGCTCTTATCATGATTTGATCCTGGTCTAATGAGTTAAGGCCCATTTTCTAGCAAAACAAACAGATATTGTTAAGTTCTTCTCTGGTATAGTTATATGACTGTGAATTTCCTACATAAGCATGCATCTACACAGTTTCATTAGCTATTTTAGACACTGGAGCATTTGTCAGGCTTTTGTCCCTGCTATGAATGTGGTGCAGAAACTCTAATTTAGATGCACGTTCTGCATTGCTGGTTTGATCTTCCACTGCCATCTCTCTGCAACAACAAAGAGCTTTGCTGGTGTTTACTGCTTTCCCCATCTCTGTATTATCATTTATTCAACAGTTTTAAGTGCACAATACAAATTAAAATCCAGAATTGTAATTCACCCTGGCACTCAATCTGTTACAATGTGCTTTGTGTAGAAAGGAAATTAACAGCCCAATTATATGCTTGTTTACTCACTAGAATTAAGTTCACTGAATTCACTGAGGCCTACTCCCAAGTAAATTGTATGTAGAATTGCATTGTTAGGTTATAGAATACTATTTCAGTATCATAATATAAAACTGGAACACTAAGCCTTATGCCTGAAGTCACATACACTCCAAAATAGGATTACATCTCTTATCTATAATGACAATTGCCTTTTCAAATTTGTATTTTCTTGGTTTTATGAGAATAGCAAGTGGGGCCTGGGATCAACAAAATCTGGGTGGTGCTCCTGACCAGTCTTTCCTGTTTAATCTGTCATCTGTCCAATTTCCTTCTAGTTTCCCCTTCTAGTAATTGATCAGTACACCATGCCCAGTGCCCCCTCCCCCAGTTCTCTTTCATAATTTTTTTTGTTTCTACAAACCAAATGAACTGCTACTTCCCTTCTATATATGAGTGTTGCCATGCAAACTAACAAGCTGGGAATTGAATTTGCTACTAGTATTTGCCAGGAATGGATGATTTTTTACTCTTCCTATGTTGCTGAATTTCAATTCCCAGCAACCCTGACCAGCCTGGTTAAGTTGACATTCTTCAAGAACTGGGGTGCCATTTCTTGTTCACCCCTGCGTTTGTGTGCATTGTTTTCATCAAGGGTTTGCAAAGTCAGTACCTAATCTGAAACAAGTAGAACTTTGTCCTAACATGTTATCCTTCAGCAGGCCTTAGGTCTTCTCAAAAGATTTGTTTCAAGGCTTGGCCTATCTTCTTGGCTTGGTGCCAAGTACCTCACTTGGTTTCCTTTTGTTATAAGATGCTGGCAGGACTGCATTACAGTAGATCCAGCATGTTAGTGTAAAACCGAGGTGTGATCTTAGAAGCCACACTTTCAGCCGGTGACTCGGGCATAAGAGTTACAGCGTGCCTTCTTTCTTGTTGTTTAGGCCCATGATTGAAATGTGCATTCCATCGGTCTTGGATCCTACCCTGGCTCCCTCAGGCTGCCATGTGATTTCACTTTTTACCCAATACACCCCCTATTTGCTTGATGAAGGAAAGCAGTGGGATCATCATGACCGTGAGGACTATACCAATCGAGGTACAGCCAACTGGTAAATCCTGGCAAGGAGTCATCTTAGTATAAAGGGCAAATCCTGCATTTATCTAAGGAATATCTTCCATTTGCAAGAACGCCTCCCCCTTCGTACTCATGCAAACCTTGCTACTGTATTCTTGACAAAATGTCAGTTCCCTTACTCATTTAGAAGGATTTCTTGCTCTCAGTTGCTATCTTTTGTATGCAGAAATAACCTCTGAGAACAGCCATGTGCATTTCTGTGATGAACAGGGAAATTCTTGGAATGAACAGGAGCCTAGCAGCAACTAAAGAATGATTTAATCACAGAGCATTCATAGCTTTGTGTACTTGAGGGTTTACATTCCAGTCTGTCTAAAGGTAATGTTGGGGGGCAGCCTAGATAAATGATGATTGATTTGCCTTGAACCAAGAGGCAAGTCTCATTTTATCCTATTCAACCAATTACAAGACTGCCTTGTATCAGACCCTGGATCCAACTATTCAAGTGTCTTCAACAGTAACTGGGAGGAGCATTCCAAGATTAAAGATAGAGGTTTTCCAGCTCAACCTGGACATGCCGTAGATTAATGCTGAGATGTTCTATTCTACTTCTGACTTATGGTCCCCTACCAGATATCTTCTCTCTCTGTAGTATTTGACAGTGTTGAAGCCTATGCACCTGGGTTCAAGGCATCCATCATTGGCATAGATGTTTTAACACCTCCAGACCTTGAACAGATCTTTGGCCTACCTGGTGGGGTATGTATTTACTGAGAATCACTCCCCAAAGACCCCACCAATTTAGGAGACCATATAACATTCATTCATTCATTCATTCATTCATTCATTCATTCATTCATTCATTCATTCATTCAAATGTATATGGCCTCACAAAACAATTGACTCTGGGCAGCGTACAACAAAGCTAAAAAAACAATTAATAAATAACATTATTATTATTACATTACAAACTATAAAACACAGCTAAAAAGAATTAATGGGCGAAGGGATGTTAATACTCCATTATTACTAATAATAACAGAGCCACCTCACTAGTTCAGTTCCTTGGGGTCCCCAGGCCTGCTGGCACAACCAGATCTTGAGGGATCTTTGGAAAGTCAAAAGCAACAGTGCCAGCCTCACCTTTCACAACACAGGCGCCACAGCTGAGAAGGCCTGCTGCCTAGGGCCTGCCAAATGTAGCTCCCTAAATGATGGAACCCATAGCATGCCCTCTCTACTAGATCTGGTGGGACAGATCCTTACACAGTAGCCTTGCCAAAAAAAACCCCACCCTCTGAAGGCTGACAAGTCACCATAAGGGAACTTTTTGAGCCTTCCTGCATCTGACAGTAAAATCGTCTTGGAAATCTATCCTATGTGCTATTCTTGAAACTTGAATGCCACAGGATAGCCATTCCCTGAGTCAAATCATCCAGTGTATATAGATTGACTCTTTATGCTGGGAAGTGGACAAGCAGCCCTGTCTCTTCAGCAATTTCTCACCTGACACTCCTCTGGCTTTCAGAATATATTCCATGGGGCCATGTCTTTGGATCAGTTATATTTTGCCCGACCAGTGCCATCTTACTCCAGCTACCAGTCTCCAGTCCAAGGCCTATACCTCTGTGGCAGTGGTGCTCATCCTGGTATGTCTGGGAGGGATAGTGTGAGTGGTGTATGCAAGGCTGCAATAAAAAAGGACATAAAGGTGTTCCCCCATGGTCTCATTATGGGAAGCTTGATTCTTGCCCCACTTCTGCAATGTAGTCCTAGAAGGGACTGCTAGTTGGGCTGAGAGAACTGGGGGTCATTCGTTCAGGCCTGCCTGTCAATCACAAATATTTCCAAGAGTGCTGCCATTTTACTTTCTGTTGCAGTCAAGCCTCCTCCTTCTTCCTTCAATGCCTCAATTTTCTTCCCAGGAGGAGGTGTAATGGGAGCAGTGGGACGCAATGCTGCTGGAGTAGCCTTGGAGGATTTCAAGAACCTGTGAACCTATAGGATGATTTACTGCTTTGGCTCAAAAAGAGAGAAACCTGGGCACTCTGCAATCTGCAATCCAAGCCTTTGAAATGAACTCCCTTGTGTAGGATTTGAAGGCCTGTTCTTATAGCCCCTTCTCATATTTTTTCATCACAAATTACTCAGTACACCACTACGATGTATTTCTCCTGGAGTGCATGGTCACCAAGCAAGTAAATAGCCACTGCTGTTTCAAGTGGGACACAAATATGTCATGAACACAATAACCGAGCTTTCCTGGCAATTCCGTTTCTGCTTTATAATCAACTAATATGCTTCTCATGTAGTATCATTTAACCAGGAGTTTATCCCTGCCTCTTGTTCCACAACTTGCTCTTCTTCGGACCACTGGAGGGGTGCATGTCTCTTTCTCTGATAGTTAGAGGGACGCTTAGAGTCACGAGTGAAGGAGAGTTCATGGGGCAGCTTTCCCTCCAACTGAATAAGACAACTGTACCGAGGTCTGTTGAGTTCAGATTTTCTTGGACGACCCTTCAGCATCTTCTTTTCTTCCAAAACCCCCAGCTGTGCTATTTATCTTGCACTATGGGGTGTCTTGCCTTTTGCTTCTTGACCTGTGAAAATACGGGCATTCTGAAGTGCTGCTCCTGAGAAACAGCTTATCGTGTCGATGATGAGTCATGCTTTCCAGAAGATCAAAACCAAGGCCAAGTTGTTATGAAATCACCTTAGCAGAGGGTTAAGGAGAGTCTGCTGCCATTCATGTCATCTAACCTTGTGCTCCCCATCCAAAGCCAGATATGCCTGACTGAGCCGGAGTCCAAAAGAGCCATATTTCTCACTAGCAAAAAGCAGCTGCTTGCAAACACCTCTCTGCAATCTGACTGCAAATCCAGGCAGGGAATGGCCAGAAGCCAGCTGCCCTCGCTGATCTGGCCTTGGTTGGATTTTATGTACAGGCTAATCTCAGTCACAAAGCAGTGGAGCCAGAATACTTGGCTGCTATCCCGTTCCATTCCATTGAAATCAGTGAGAATAAATCAGTTTAAATCTAATATTCCACCTCAATTTATACATGGATTGCAACCAAAGTGTGTTGACACAATAAGGAATATCAGTAACTTCCCTCCCTGTGTATGATGGATTAATTTCGTATGAAGAACTGATTATAAAATCATTGCCAACTAGGAAATATATATCCAGAGATTAATAAAGGGTTTGAAAAACACCTCCCTTCCCCCAGTCTTCCTCTGTAATATTTCTCTTGTTTCGTGAGGGTATGTTCGTCACTGCCTGCTGGATTCAAGGCAAGCGCAGACAATGCTTGTTGTGCGGTCTGTGGGTGAGATTGCCAGTGGTCTCACGGTGCTCTTTCTCAACTGCAGCGTATGAGCAACAACCATTCATTTCAATGTGACTTCCTGAGGAACTGGCACAAACCTCCATTGAAATAAATGGAGGTTGTATGCAGCCGTAGCTGGCGGGCTTTTCCAAGGAGAAGGAAATTGTCTAGGGCTGACAAGATGGTTTGTTATGTAAAGCCACATAATTTCTGAGGTACATGAGACATCATACAAAATGATGAAGTATCAGTTTTATTCTTCTGAAGCAGGAAGCATGCTATATAAGATAATGAATAGAGCCTTCTACTTCTCAAACACTGTCAACCTCAAATATCCTGTCTCAGTTGTAACACAGCCCAGGACAGCCACTCCCACTGCATCACCACTGCTGGTTCACCTCGGGAGTGTTTCCTCAGTCTCTCCCCCTGCCCCAGTGCATTGCAGTAGCTGCACTTATAGGAGTAAGTGCAGGAACAATCAACTTTTCTTGATGGGTCATAGTAACTTAAGTATATAAATGTTCATTTGTATGAAAATTGTGAAGGGCCCCATTATATATCACATCCCATGGGAATCATTCTTGTGTGGTATCTGGTCAAGAATGAGCGCTTTAGCAGAGGAACTTTTCTGAACTGAATTGAACACAGAACAGCACAGTGGAAGGGATCAAAAGCTGGGTTTCACCTTTCTACTAAGCCATGATTAGTTTAACCATAGTTAATTGAATAAACTGAAAGTGGACGGTTTCCCACAACTTCTAAGGCACAACTTATAGACCACGGTCATTCAATCTAGAAGCTCATCACTGCTTCTGTACTGCATTATAACCTGGCAGGCCACAGAGTCTGTGCAACTTGTTGGCTAGACCAACAATTGCCACTAGGGGGAAGCATTACTGCTTGAATTTAGGGGGTTTAAAAGAGCAAGTGCAGAGTAGCCCTACTGTAATGCAGTCCCTTAGCTTTAGTAATGCAGCTGTATTTCTCATTTTTTGGTATCATGTTGACTTTTTGCACAACTGTTTTGGTGTCACTGGCAATACCTGGCAAGTGCTGCACCCACAGCATCCAGCTTGTAACATGGTGACTAATAATGATTGATAATATGGGACCCGGCCTAGCTGTAAGACATGGGCCATCCACCATCACCTCTTTCCTATAAACAGAAAATGCTAATAGTGGAAGCATTAGTGATGGATAATAATAGTGGGTGCTGATGTCCCAAGGAAAAGGCAAAATCCAGTTTTCAGTAGATTTCCCAGGAAATAGGTGCTTACACAGAATGCCATGAGTTGACTAACCATGATTTAGTGGCTACATAATTGGGTAGTTTTACAGAGTATGTTAAAACACGAGTCATGATTTATAAAGCACAACAATCAAGCAATTTTAGACTCTTATTCACTTGAGAAGCCTCCAGATCCCGGGCATCAGGGCAGCTTGTATGCCTCTTTTCTTCATGGAAATTCAACAACTGAATAATCAAGATGGGCATCCCCTCCCCAGACAACATTGTGCATCTTCACATATAAAATGCTTTGGCTGTTCATGCCTGCTAACAGCGCTTTTTTCCTGCTTGGGTTTCTGCGTCTCCCTGCTTCTCCACTTACCCTGAAATATCTAATCCTTTACGTATTTGATTTGGCGTTAAGTGTAGTCCTTGTGGAATGCCATCGCTCGCTTCCCTGTGCTTAGTAAGTGACTGGCTCAGCCCAGTTGCCCATGCCCTCTGGGGTCATGAGAGCACTGTTAATGAAATGTTTTTGAGTTCTCTAAATATATCTTGCCTTCTCTTCCTTCTGCCTACAATGTCTGCCCATGAAGATGCAAATCTTAACATGTTACTAAGGGAACATAGACCAGGTTCAAGTGTCGTCCTCCACCCCTTCTGGCAGTAACTCTCCAGGGTTTCTGGCAGAGAACATCATTTTCATCACCTTTTACCTGATCTCTTTATGATAGAGATGCCAAGAGCTGAATCTAGAACATTCCACATCTACTTTACTTTTGAGCTAAGATCCTTCTGTATGCTCTTGCCATAAAGCATCACTGGCATTAGAGAGGACTAGAACAGGCCTGTGCAAGTCAGCTTCATCAGGACATGGAGACAGCCCTATTCGCTTTATTAAGGTGCTTCATTTTGCCCTACCTGCCATAGGCATCTGGGGATGAGGAGAGATGATGTAATTACATAAACAATGCAACTTTCTATTTGCATCAGGCATCCTGATGCAAATATGTAAGTCATATTTGTATTATTCCATCTCCATTTTGATGTCATGTGGTTTGCTGCATATGCCTGTTAAACTGCATGTGCAGAAGCTTCTTAGCTGACTACTGGAGTTGCCGGAAAAGGCAGCCGGAGCAATGCAAAGAACACACTGCAGGAGCTTTGCCTCTCTTTAGAAGCAAAGAAGCCATGCTGTTTTCTGAAGAAGCTTCTTAAGAAGACAGCTGACAGCAGCAATTATTTCCCAGTGCCTTCCTTTTCCAAATCAGACTGGGTGATGGAATTCACTGTTGTGTTTGTACAACATACTTAACCAGGTCAGTTAAAGCTTTAAATAACTGTATTTGTACATCATGCAAAAGCTGGGGAGTTTTAACATTGGTTAAGCTTTCTTGCGGCTTAACATACTGTGCAAATCCAGCCACTTTGGGTAGTTTATATCTTGTGCCAACCTAGAAAATGATTTAATTCAGTACTATAACCAATGTAAGTGAGTTGCATGAATGCAGTCACTCAGGCTTCCTTGGCTGGATTCATTCATCTCACCCAGCAGGTTGAAAACAGCAGGTTCTTCCTGGTTCTACATCCCCTCCTGTATTTCTGGAGATTTCTTACTTACACATGCCATTTAGAAGGGGGGGGGGCGGTCTCTTTAGCCAGGGGCAATGAATAAAAAAAGAAAAAGCAGTGCCAGTTCATTTTACTATACACACCAGAGATTATCTGTATGTACTGGCAAAGATGATCTGCCAGATTTCTTCCAATCTCAGGAGATTGTAGTGGCATTCTGCTTCAAGTTGCTGAATGGTTTCTCATGTGTTTGACCTCTTCGGATTGCTGTGATGGTAGAAGAAGAGAGTTACAGGGTTAGCATATAAAAGTTTAACATTATCCAGAAATGCTTCATGGATAGATGGTTATGAATACAGATGGACTCTTCTGCAGCATTTTGGGTTGAGAAGCAAGAAGCAGGGGCTCAAAGTGTTAGATGCTTTCTCACCCCCAGGCTTCCGGTAGAAACAAAATGGTTATTCTGGATCTCTGCATCAAGGGAGGAACTGGACCAGATTGAGTCACAATCTGTGACAAACAGGAGGGTGAACCTGCAGCCTTGGCACTTTCGAGCAGTGTGTGAAAAGTACAATATTGCTCTGAGGTAACGTGGTTTCTAATGGAAAAGGACACTTCCAAGCCTCCCCCCACCTCCCCCCCCCCCCCCCC